AAGTCAGCCCAGGAGGAAGGAGTGGGCTTGAGGGTGTGGGGCTTAAATCTTTGCTCTGACTTTTTCTGCAAAGTGGAAGGGCGTTCCTGTCTCCTTTCTGATCTAAGACGAGAGTCAGAGGAAGGCTGTTCACTTTCCATGTAAAGAGAGTCACTGCCTGTCCCTAGGGTGACAGTCACAAAAGCACTTATTTTGTACCCTGATCAGGGAGACAGATGAGTGCTCTTGTCCTGAGATAATGACCCCCCCACCCCAATCACATTTCCTGGGAAAGGGCACAGTGTTGTGCATGCGCGTGAGGCTGGCGGCGCCCGCACGATTCTCCGTGAAGGTGTCTGCGCAGCCAGGAAGCCTGGTTCATCTGCACAGGTCACAGTGTAGAGCTGAGAGTTGAAGTTGGGGGGCCCCAAAATGTTCATTTTCTGGAACAAAACTGTCTGGTGACAAGATTAACAGCGACAGAATGGAGAGTAGGGTGAACTGGGTGTTTCAGGCTTACCTGGTGCTGTGCAGTGGGCACAGTACCTTGAGATAGCCCTTTCTGTCCCTACCTCCAGAGAGGGTCAAGGCTCAGCAGCATCCTTCAGACATTCCCTGGGGCTGAGAGAGTGGGGACTCTCCTGAATCCTCCCTGCAGCAGGCAGAAGAGCTGGAAGGCACAGCCTCTTCATTGGCCCTCCGATTGGCTCCTTGGGGAGTGCCCAAAAGTACAAGAGCTTCGGACACCCTCTTGCCCACTCTCCCCACTTTGCATTGGAAAATAGACTTGCCAGAGCTCTGTACCCCGTCAGTCTGAGATCACAGTCTGGCTGACCACCCCACCTTGAATTCTGCTGGACACAGGGTGGGCATGGAAAATTTGGAGGTGGGAATCAAACTTGGATTCAAGATTGACTTTGATATTTTGTCCTGGCCTCATACCTATGTGGCTGCTGAGGGTTGGCCCTGTGTTGAACCCAGAACAAAGCTACCCGATCAACATTGCCATGGTTCCTTCTCTCTTTTAATGTTCACAGCCATTGCCCCATTTTACAAATGGGGAAACTGAGACACAGAAACTATGCTTAGGTCACCCAACAATGAGCCAATTGGAACTTGAATTTGGGTCATGAGCATGGCCAGGGCTAGGTCCACATATACGGGAGGTGGGGCGGCTGTTGGGGGAGGGCTTAAGGGTTGGAAAGAGGCTTAACTTGCTTAGGATGGGCCCTGGATGTGGATGTGGCACAGGGGCGGGGGTAGAGGGCATGCTTCAAGGGTTAGAAGTTGATCCTGGAGATGCTGGGAGACCAAGGGCAGGTGTAAGCAAACCGGTGTAGCCTGTCAATTATACACCTGGGACAGTGTGCATGGCCACCTGTGGGAGGCCCTAGGACAGGAGAGCAGCTGTATTGCCAGGGACTGTGAGGCTCCAAAGGGCACAGGAAGCGCTTGATGCCAGAGAAGAATTCATGTATGCCAGTAGGAACAGGAGCAGCCAGGTGAGGGACTGGGAAGGAGGAAGAAGAAGAAAGCAAGTCACTCTGGGTAGGAAAAGAGGCATGCAATGCCAGGCCTCTGTCTCCAAACTGATGTTACCTCCTCGGGGATGAGAATGGTCCCTGAGGTCAGGGTCAAAATGACTGCTACAGCATCTTTTTCCCCCGGGGTCAGGAAGAGGGACATCTTCATAGGAGAGGAGTCTGGGCCTTTGAGCCCTGGCTCTGTTCTTGCCATAATCACTTCCCCTGTACCGATCTTTCCAAATAGATGGAGAGCCCCAGGGCCTGACAGCTGACAGAAATGCACAGCTGTGTGCTTATGTCGTCCTACAGAGTGCCCACCCCCCCCTTCCCTAGCATCCCATGAGCGAGCTCTACTCTGATGGGCCCTGAGGACTCCAGCTCTCCCCAGCTGATGTCCAAGGCCTCCATGCCCACCCAACTGGCCCTAGCCAGCCTTTCCAGTTTGTGACTCTACCCACCTGTCATCTGCCTGACTGTGGCCGCTTCCTGCACATAGCAGGTGACCAGTTCTTAGCACTTGGATTGGCCAGGGGAGGCCTGTCACTTGCCCTCTCTGCCCTCCCATCAGAAATGAAGTCAGACCCAGTGCTGTGTGTGTTCCAAGGTCCTGTTGCTCTCGTTCTTCGGATGACTAGTGCATGACTTTTCCTGGTGAGTCTGTTTCTCTTCACATCAGACAGAGAGGGTAATAGCAACTCAGAGAATTGACTGCACCCAGCTTGGTGAACCAATGAGTTCATTAGGGCTCCTTGCTGGAGAATGGGGAAGAGCTTGCTTATAGAAGCATGGGTGGCTCTCAGAACCATGTTAGGGAAAAGCACACTCCAGCCTGGGTGACAAGTCCCATATAGCTTTGTGACTTCAGCTAACCTCCTACCTCCTATAGACTCCCAAAACCGGGGCAGGGTTAACACAACCGGAGAAACAGGAGGTGCTGGGTGGCTGGAATCTCAAGTGAGAGTCTGGGGACCCCTCTCCCACTTCTGTGAGAGAAGGCTAACCTCCCAGTCTTGAGCAGATAGCTACAGCTACTCTGTTTTTGAGACGACCTTGGCCATGTCGTATCTGGAGAACAGGGTCCCACAGCCACAGCGGCTCACCCTGTGTGGTGTGTCATCAGGAACAGAGCTATTTAATGGTCCCAGAAACTCTCTGAGGCTGATACTGTTACAGCCTCACTTTACAAGTTGGAAACCCAAGACAAAGGAAGGTGCCATCACCATGGCCAAGGGGTGGCAGTTGCGTTGGCTCTCAGTCAGACCCCCATGTGAACTCTGCTCTCCCTGACAATTCTCTCCTGTTTGAGATTTGCTTCTTCAACAAGCTGCAGACTATTCAGAGTTTAAGGACTATGTCTCTACGATTAGGGTGGCCACACAAACCTGATGCCCGGTGGGTGCTCCGAATTTTGGCATGCCCAGCGACTCAAAAGTGTTGCTGTTCAATAACAGGAGTAGAGATCTCAAGGGTCAGTCTTGAATGAGCTTTTGGAGCCACCCAGAACCTTGCCTTTGTCTCTTAATAGCTTTGTGACCCTAAGCTAGCAGTCTGGTCTCTCTGGTGATTAGTTCCTCTCTCTGTATGATGGAACCTTCTAGAGTAATGAGATGCCTGCAAAATTCAAACTCAAACCACACCTACTTCCAGCTCCGGTGGTTCCAAGCCTCCCTACTGCTTGGAATGGCAACAGTGCTCACCATATCCTTCCTCTGTGGCTGCTCTGTCACTTAGGAGTTTATTGAGTTTCCTGTTTGCTAACTGGGCTCTCGACTACGAGTGAGTTTCTTGGCTTATTCTTCCCTGGCGAGCTGTGTGGCCATGGGCCAGTCAGTCCCTTCCTTAGATTTGTTTCCCTGTCCTGGCGAAGGCAAGGGTTGGAGCAGATGGTCCCTCCCACCCCTTCCTGCCTTTGCCATCTCAGGAAGCAGGGAGGGGCCGCCTGGACACAGCATGGGACACGGACATGAAGCACTGACAGGAGCCTCAGATGGAACACAGGGGCAGCATCCCAGTCACCCTGTAAATGCCAGGTTACATGCCCTGAGGGTCTAAATACATCCCGTTACTACCTCCTTCCACTGTCCCCACCCTAGGACCTATGATTTGTACCCATTTTGCAGATGAGGGCCTTGGGGCTCCGAGAGGTTAGATGATATCTCAGGGGACACACAGCTAGCAGGTGACTGAGCCAGCTTTCTCACCCATATCTGTCTGATCTGAAACTGGAGCAGACAGTGAAGCGCGAAGTGACCCAGCTCAGTCTGCCTCCTGCCTCCACCCTGTGGGCTCCAGGGTTTGGGCTTCCTGGATTAACTGTTTCCAAGGTTGTATATTGGGCCCAAGCTACCTGCCCAGATCCTCCTAGGCCTCTCTCTATATATATGTCTTTCTATCTGATGTCAACTTTATAGCTGACTTCTCCCATCCTAGCATGGGGAGCTCATACCCTTCCAGGATATTGGTCTCTGAGCAGGTTCACCTTGCAAAAGTCAGAAGGTAGACGTGTCTGGCCCTGTCCTAGGTACTGAGAGTGAGACCAGCTCAGGACATGGTCACTACCCTCAGGAGCCCAAGATCTAATTAGGGAGACTGATAGGTAACCTCACGGAATACAGTGTGTTGAACTTGGGAATGTGATTCAGTTAATAGAGTCCTCATCTAGTATGCATGAAACCCAGGTTCAATCCCCAGCACCACATAAATGGGGTGTGGTGTTTCACTCCTGCAGGAGGATCAGAAGTCCAAAGTCATCCTCTGCTACTTAGTGAGTTCCAGGCTAGCCTGGCCTTAGTGAGACTCTATCTTAAAGGGAGAAGAATTCATTTACTACAACAGTATGAGGATGGTCCCCACACACAGAAGAATGTCGGAAGACAGGAGAGTTTGGGAGGTGGGCCCTCAGGACAGGTGACCCATAGGTCACATGAGCACCCTGAACAGAGGCCACCTTGCGCAAGGGCTGGGAGGTAAACACTGCATGGTGTTTGGTGCTGTCTAATAGAACTTTCTGGAACACTGGAGAGTTCTGCGTCTGTATTGCTTGGTGCTATAGCTGCCAGCCCTAAGTGGCTATTGAGCCCTTGAGATGAGACGAGGCCAGTACAGTCAAGAAATTGAATTTTCCGCTCCATTTCATTTTCACCCACTGCCGTGTAAACAGTCACATGAGGCTGAAGGCTGTCGTGCTGAACAGAGCAGGTATAGACCAAGAGATGACCAGAGGTGGCAGGGCTGGCGTGGAGGGCCTTGAATGCTGCCCCCAAGGCCTTGTGCTCTTCTTTCCAGGCGCCGAAGAAATCCTGGGAGTTTGGAAAACCCTTTTAATGTTCATTGAAGCTGCTGTGGGGGGCATCGGGCACAGAATAGAGGCGGGTCCTAAGGTGGGAATTCAGAAAAAAAAAACAAAACAAAAACTGATGAAGGCCGGACCAGGGGCTGTGGGTGCGGCGACAGGACCGGACTCCACAGAAAGCCTGAGAACTTTGACCTCTGACTGGTCAGGTTCAGAGATGAGTCGTGGGTTTCTGGCATCAGTGGGTACACTTCACCCCATAGAGCCACCTCTCCTCAGTAAGGAAAGGCAAGTCTGATGTCCCTCACTACTCTGAATCCACTATGGTGAGTGTCTTAGTCTCTCTCCGCAGTTCTCCCTGTCCCTTGTTTCTCTTTCCCCAGTCCTGACAGTGCCGTAGGTGTTCTGGGAGGCCTTGGAGTGTATGTGTAGAGGAGGGAACATTTCTCCTGCCCCCTGGATGGATGTAGGAAGAAGGGCAAGTCAGTTCCTCGGATCCTGGGTTCAAAACCAGTGAGGAGTTTGTCCACGTTCCCAGGACTTTCTGAGCAATGTGACAGATGGGGTTTCCAGGACCTTACAGGACCTATGGCGACCGCCACCGGAGAGAATACAGCACTAGCCATTTCTCCAAACATCTACCTCTTGACCGGACAAATTCCCAAACTAGATTAGACCCCAAGTTGTCAGAAGCCACATTCTGCACAGTGGTGAAGTAGGCCTGCCTTTCGAGGCCTCGGGGGCCCGGGAGCCTTAGGAATAACCCTCAGCTGTGAGTAGGTCAGGATTTCTCTCTCATGGAAAGCAAGTCCATCAGAGAGGGCTCCAGGCTCTGCTGTGCAGGGGACATTGAACTGGATCCTGAGAGCTAATTTCTCACTTCTCTTGCTGCTCGTCCAAACACCTTACATGGGTGACCTGCGGCCCACTCTGTGGAAAGCATGGACACAATTGGCATTAGCAAGCAATATCAGAGCCTGCTTGCCTTCTGTCCTTCCTTCCTTTTTCTCCCCCAGGGAATGAGTCTGGTGATTGTGTGCCTTCCCCACAGTCCTCAGAGACACAGTTATTTCTCCCTTCACCTCAGTCGTCACAGTCTCCTCACACCAAGATGGCTGCTGGAGTTCCAGCCATTGTATCTGTTGAAGCTCTTGCTCTCATCAAGCATGCTGCCCCCATCTCTTGTTATCCATGGCTATCTTCAGGCCCGTGTGCCTTCCTCTGAGTAGGACTTTCCCAGGCACAGCATCTAAACTGGCCGGCTCGTCACATGCTCTGCCTTCTTTTCCAGATCATGGATCACGTTGGTCTTTCCCTCTCTGGTTGCCTTTTTTTCCTGTTTCTGGTCAGTCTTGCTCACTGGACTGGAGGATCCCTGTGGGCAGAAACTGCATCTGCCTTGTTCTCTGTTGTATCTCCAGAACTCAACGGTGTCCCTTTCATTGTAGCTGCTCAATAAACTCACGGTGAATGAGGGAGCGGCAGCAGCAAAGGCCATTCTGTGTGCTCCAGTCCTCAGTTACTGTGATACCGGGGCCGTTTCCTTGTGTCAGTGCTAAGGCTGTGGGATGAGTCGGACCGGTTATTTGTTGAGTATCCTCCCTGCTCTGACAAGATGGGAGGTAAAAGTAGGAACCAGCTGGATGGTGGTGGTGGTGCATACCTTTAATCCCAGCACTTCAGAGGAAGAGGCAGACAGATCTCTTAATTTGAGGCCAGTCTGGTCTACAGAGAAAGTTCCAGGACAGCCAGGGCTACACAGAGAAACCCTGTAACAAAATGGAAAAAAAAAAAAAAGGAACTGGCACCTCAACCTGTCTGGCATCACCTGGCCTAGGTTGACTAGAGTCCCCGGGAATTGTTCGGGTTCTGTTTTTCTGAAAATTCTCTCACAGAGCCCCTTCCTGGAGCCCTAACTAGTACCAGATAGCCCCTGGGCGCAGACCACAGAGAGAGATAAGGACCTACCCTGATGAACCTAAGGGCTAATATGGGAAGGGCAACCCTCACCTACTGTACAGAGGCTAGAGGCTCAGTAAGTGCAGACAGCTGGACTCTGTTGGGGACCACCCACCTCTACCCGGATTTGTTGATAAATAAACAGGCCCCACCATGTGCTAGTACCACTCTGGGCAGTAAGAATCCAGGAAGACATAACAGCAAACCAACCACACAGGATTCCCACTCATAAAAGTCCTGTCCCAGTGAGGGAGATAAGCAATACACACACAAGCTGTTGACGAGTTTGGTCCCTTCTGTCAGGGAATGGTACAGCGAAGACCCCAGGGTTGTGTAAGGGAGGTGCCTCTGTCTGTGGGGCGGTCAGACAAGACTCCAGCTAAGTGAATGCTACAAAGCCCAAGCAAACAGTGAGTGCAAAGTCCCGAGGCTGGAGGGTTGTGACTCCCCTGTGGTGTGCTGGCCTAGCATGCACAAGGCTGGGGGTTCCACCCCTGTACTACCACCACCGGAGTAATGTCCCCAGTGTTGAGCCTGCTCTGGATGATGGAAGGGAGCCATTTTGGCTGGATGGGAGCAAGAAGGGAGGATGGTGAAGACAGTTGTAGAAGCTAAGGGCAGGGGAAGGTGCTGCAAGGTTGACGTAGGTACTAAATACCTCAGTGGTCAACAGGAATAATTCCCAGTGCAATATTTTTTCAAACAAAATTAATGCCAGAAAATATCAATATTTTAAGCAAGGCCATCACAAGTGTCCTATTGAGCCAAATGGAACTCCAGACAGAGGGAAAAAATCACAATACTGAACCTGGGTTTGGTCCGAGGATGAGGCATTTGGATGTGCGTGTGCGTAAGTGTGTGTGTGTGTGTGTGTGTGTGTGTGTGCACACGCGCGCACACGCATGTGCACATGGAGACCAGAGGTCAATCCTGTCAATCCTCAGCAGCAGTCCACCTTTGAAAAAAGTTTAATTACCTTTGTTATTATTCTTTTTAATATTTCTTTAAATTTTTATTTTATGTATATGAGGGTTTGCCTGCATGCATATCTGCGTACCGCATGCCTGTGCAGTGGCCACAGAGGCCAGAAGAGGACATCTCAACCTATAAACTGAAGTTACAGACTGTGGCAAGCCACTTTGTGGGACTCGGACTGAGTCTAGTGCCTCGACGAGAGCAGCAGGTTCTCTTCACAGCTCAGTCCTCTCTCCAGCCTTCAACCTTAAAAAAAAAAAAAAGAAAAAAAAAAGAAAAGATCTCTTGTTGGCCTTAGGGCTCACCGACTAGGTTGGGCTCACTGGCCAGTGAGGCCCAGGGCCCCCTTGCCCCATTTCTAGTGCCGCGGTTACAATCCTCTGCTGCCACCGCTAGCTTTGTACCTTTGTACCTCAGGGCTGGAGATCAAACCCAGGACCTCATGCCCGCACGGCAAGTACTTTAGTGACGAGTGTCTTCCGGTCCTCAGTCCTGTTTTCAGTTTGAAAGGTGATATCTTGTCTGCCTGGATTTGTTGCCATGGATCTTCTTAGATGTCATCCTTGTAGAAATATGTCACCTGGCTTTAAGCTTGTTGACTCTGGCTCACAGTGCTGACCCTAACCAGTGTGCACTGGGTGTATGTTTGGAGCCAGGTTCTTGACCTCTTTGTATGCTTTTTTCCTCTTGAGAATGGGGGTGCAGTAGCATTACAGAAAGGCTCAGTGACTTGGTACCAGCCAAGGCTGAAAGCAGGGTTCAACCCGGCGGGCAGAGACTTAGGCAGTGAGTCTGTGCTGTGGGCAGTGCTAGGTCCCTATCAGAGTGCCACATGGGTGCCAGCCAGCAGCTAAGGCGCAGGGCGAGGGAGGGTATGAAGAGATTGCTTGACATCAGAAGGACCAGAGAGTAAGGCCTGGTAACTCATGGCTGCAACCCTAGCTCTTGAGAAGGTAAGGCAGAAAGATTGCTGCAAGTTGGAGGCCAACCTGGGCTGCATAGTGAGTTCTGGGCCAGCGTGGCCTGTAGCATTCAATCCTGTTTCAAAATAAAGAGGCCTAGGATATAGCACAGTGACTGGGTGTTCTCTCTCGGGTTTAGGGAGCAAACTAAACAGGATCTGATGAGTAAGCTATGGTGGGAGGCGGGCACTGGGGTTGAGGGTTGAGGGCAGGATGGACCCCAGCTGCCAACAGAGCTGGTCTCTCCATCATCGCAGACTGCCCTGGCTGGGTGTGGCCTGCTCCCCCATGCAGGCCCTGTGTGTATTTCAGAGGGAACTGAAGGAGCAGCTTCAAGCCCTTCAGGACAGCGAGCGTGAGCACACGGAGGCACTGCAGCTACTTAAGCGACAGTTGGCGGAGACCAAGGTGAGCTGACCCAGTGTGGGGACGGGTGGGCAGTGGTGAAACAGGGCTAAGCGCCCTCCATCCCTCTGAGGAAATCTGGCTTCCAGTTGCCTAAGTGTGGTGGGAGAGAGGTGGGGTGGGCAGGAGTGGAGCCTCTGAGAGAGCAAACAGGAGTAGGACCCACCCCCTATGTCACAGAGGGCTTTGGTGCCTGAGCGGGGCCGTTTCTCTTCACCTTTGACAAGCATTGGGGTGGGACCAGGAAGGGCTGACAAGTTCTACTTAGTGTCTCTTTGTTCTTCCCTTATTAAATAGGCCCACTGCCCAGGAGCCCACTGTGGCATGTCCCCTCAAAGCCATGACTCATGTCCTCTCCCCTCTTGCACTGAAACATAGGGATAAGACTCTAAATCCATGTGTCGTGAGACACACCTGTAATCCCAGCACTGAGGAGGCTGCACCTGGAGGCTATTGAGTCTCAGGCTGGCCTAGGCTGCTTGGCAAGGCCTTGTCTGGAGAGGGTGGGGGCACCTGACTCCAACTCTGAAGAGTAGGGCGAAATTCTGTTCTGTGGTCTCTGGCTACCATGATAGGATGGAATCTTTTGTCCTTACTTGAGAGGAGTACTCGGTCCAATCCTAGCACGGACCCGTCAATCACATTCCTGGGCTCCCTATCTAAATAAACAGTGGGGACTCTGGCCGGTTCAATCCAGAGCTCAGGGCTGGGAGGAGAGCTTCACAAACAGAGGGACTCTAGGGAATGACTTTGGGCTGACCCTGCTCTACAGGATGAAAGCCCCTGTAGCTGGAGCAGAGAAAGCCTTGGGGTTACCTGGCCTGGAGAAGCCATTGGTAGCTTATATCTGTGTTCCAGCGTGACCGCCAACCCGCTGCGTGGTCTTGGGAGGGTCATGACATACATTCCTTCAGAGGACATTCCAGAGACCCCTCGGTGGGTGACAGATGAGGACCAACTGCAGGGTTGCGACTTCAGTGCTTCTCCCAGCCTTAGCGTCTGTGTCTGTCTGGTGACTCCACACCACCCCCATGAGGAGAAACAGATGGAACCCTCTCTGGAGAGCCCGATTCTGAGGGTCTGTTCTCGCTACAGCTTTGCTTCTCTTGTTCACCCCTCTTCTCCCCCCACATTCCTCCCCCGCCTCACTGACCTCCTGCCCACCTTTCCTGCCCATCTGTGTGCTGCTGGGGGACCCGCTTCCCCTCCCTTTCCCCAGCCTGGCTTCCTGTCTGGACGGGTATATTTATATAAGAAATGCTGATGGAGGCTTTGAGGCTGTATTTCACCTGGTGTCTGACTGGTTCTGCTGCAGCCTGCCTGCCCTCCAATGGCCTTGCCTGGGGGCCTGTCTGCTCTCCCTCCTCACCCGTGTTTTCCTTGGTAGGCTCTGAGATGCTCTGTTCCTGGCAGGGTTGTTTCTGAAAGGGCCACAGCTGCCCCAGACCCCGTGTGTGTCTAGGAATGCGGGAAGCTGGGCTGCCTTCCCCACCAAGGAGCGCAGCATAGCTCTGCCTTAGGATTCGAAAGAGTGGGGTCAGGGAGACGGTTCAGCACATAGCGGAGCTTGCTGCCAAGCCTGACAGCGTAAGTTCAGTCCCCAGGACCCACGTGGTGAAAGGAGAGTCATGAGAGCAGGACTCCCTAAGCTTAGCATAGCATCTGATCCATGGTAGGGAGCTGTGGGACAAGTGAGTGAACATCGCATCAATAATATTAATTAATTAATTGATAAAGCACCTTTGGTAGTGAGAAATTGCAATCCCACTTCTAACCGAGGAAAGTTCAGCCGGGAGAGATTGACAGGCAGACCTGAGGCCCCATAGCGTGTTTTAGTGGCAAGATGGATGACTTTGGGAAGAGTTTGGGAAGGCCCAACAGGGTCACGTACAGAACTCCTGGGCCGTCACGCTGCCATGCCTCTTCCCGGTCCCCTCTCTCCACCTCTCGTCCTCTTTCTCTATCCATCCTCTCTTGTGCTGGGGACACTGGAAAGGACATGGAGTCTGCCCTCAACTTTGTGATGTGACCTTAAGCAAGTTCCTCCCTCTCCCCTTCATCAGTGAAGCTCTCCTGACCGCCAGCCTGTACCAGGCCTGGGGATGGGCACAGGGACAGGGAACAGGCCATTCCTACCCAGGAAGGGCTCACACACTAGCTAGAGAGACATGTTGTGGAGGCGAGAGCAGATAAGAACCTTGGCATGCCTACCACCTGGAAAGGTGAAAGAAAACCTCTGGGGAGGAGCTCTCCCCCCACCAATTCTTGGGGAGGCACAGCCGCAGAAATAGAGACAAACCAAGCAGCCACTGGGTGACTAGCGTTGTTGAACAGTTTAGCAGGAGCTAGAGAGGGTAACCCCAGAACCTGGAGGCCCCGGAAGACGGCTCTAGAGTTTATAGGGACTCAGACCCCATACTCCAGCTGTAGCAGCCTCACTCTCTCTGGGTGAGGGGATCCAGGAGGCCCCTAGCAGCCTTTCCCTCCATCCCCAGCCTCGCCTCCACTCCTTCTTTGTCTTCCCAGCGTGTTGGGTGGGCATGCGCGGGGAGGTTGGCCTGCTGCCAGCCGTTCTTCCTGCAGGGCCAGCAGCCACCACAGGAGAGAACAGGCCCTAATTGAGCCTTTGTGGAAGCTCCCACAGAGCCCCGGGCACTGAACACAGTGGGGTCTCTGACTCTATGAACTGCCAGCCAGAGGCCCACAAAGTGAAATTGCAGAGGCAGGCCCCACGTGTGGCCACATCCTGTGTCGCCTGACTGTCAGCGTTCCTCAGGCTACCCCCTCTGCCTGTTCCTGCTCCGCCATGCACAACCAATGCTCCCCCGCCCCCCGCATCCCTGGAGACCACTCTGAAGCCACCTCTCCATGTGGACTCCGTAGGCATGCCTGTTAGAAACCATCCCTTTGCTGTACGTGCCTGTTTTCCCTCGGTGCCTGGAGCTGCACCTCATTCGATGAACATCACCACACCCCTGCAATGTGACTTTTGTAACCCCTCTCACAGATGGGGAAACTGAGGTACACAGAGTTCAGGTAGCTGAGGCAACCACAACTAGAGACTCAGCTGGGACCTTTCCCTAGTCGCTCCTCTATGGCTTCTTGGGCCTCGGGGAAGGGAGAGGGTCCGGGTGTGCGTAGACCTCCCTTGGCAGTGGCCTAGTTCCTGCAGTGAGGGTCCTAGGGGAGCCAGATGGGCAAGTAAGCACTAAGATTTGCCCAGTCTCTGCTTGTTCATGAAGGTCTCTGGCCTCCATGACCCCCTTTGTCATCATCCTTTGACACCCATAGATGATGGGGTGTATCCTTTGACCCCCCATAGATTATGGGGTGTATCCTTTGACCCCCATAGATGATGGGGTTTATCCTTTGACACCCATAGATGATGGGGTAGTCAAAATACAGAGCACTGAACCCCACATTGCACACATAGGCATGCCCCATTAGCTGTTCCCTCCTTCCTTTCCTCATTCCAGGAATCTGGGCAGTACTGTGCGTTCCTTCCCTTCACAGCCTCATTGGCTCCGCTGTATCCCTCCACTACTCTCCTGATAGGCCCCCACGAAACTATGAGCCCTTCTGTCCTGTGCAGGACCCATCTTATCGCTTTCTTATCTGTGTATCCTATGGGGCCTGCCGAGCCAGCCCCCTCCCCCATCTTTGTATCAAAGCTGCCCCGTCTCATTGGCACCTGGATGCAGTAAGATTCACGCTGGGTCCCACTTAGACTTTCCCATAACCCCTATGGTTATCCCCACACACAGTCCTCTACCAAGAGCCTGCGGACCACCATCGGGGAGGCCTTTGAGCGGCTGCACAGGCTCCTGCGGGAGCGGCAGAAAGCCATGCTGGAGGAGCTGGAGGCCGACACCGCCCGGACGCTGACCGACATTGAGCAGAAGGTCCAGCGCTACAGCCAGCAACTGCGCAAGGTGCAAGAAGGTGCCCAGATCCTGCAGGAGCGGCTGGCTGAGACCGACCGGCACACCTTCCTTGCTGGAGTGGCCTCCCTGTCTGAGAGGTAAGTGCCGCCTGACTGCGATATCCCCCGAGGGCCTCTCCCAACCCAACTGAGGCACTGAGGGGGTCAGGTAGATGGGACTGTCCGCATACAAATCATCCAATCATATTTTCATCATCGTTGATAGGAATCTGCTATAAGTATGCCAGAGCCCAGACTAAAAGCCTTCCATATCCATGTTTTTCTGTACATAATATATTTTGATGGAGCTGGGCATGGTGGCTGACCCCTGTAATCATGACACTAGGGATGTTAAAGCGGGAGGTTTGTCGTGTGCATTGGCTTTCCCTCTGTGCTTGGAGTTGCACCTCATGTGAAAACCATCTCCACCACCCCAGCCTGGGTTGGAGGCCAGCCTGCACTACAGAGTGAAGTCTGATCTCAGAACAACATATGTGTGTGTGTTCTACCTATATTATAACAGCATAAGCAATATTCGATGGTGTTTGTAGTCATTTAGCATGGCTTTGTGCTGTGTGTCACTCATGTATTTTATGTATTAGGGGAAATGGGGTGTGCATGCTCATGTCTGTGATCACCAGATGTCAACCTCAACTGTCAATCTTCAGGGTGTTGTCCCCCTTGGGGATGTGTGTGTCTGTTTGAGTGTATACCACGAATGTATAGGTGCCTGTGGAGACCAAAAGAGAGGGTCACATCCCCTGGAGCTGGAGTTACAGGCAGTCGTGAGCCATGGGTGCTGGGGAAAAAACTCAAGTCCCCTTGAAAAGCAGTAAGCTCTACTGTCTGTCTGCGACCCCCACCACAGCTTCTGAGATGAGGTCTCTCACTAACTGAACTTTCCAAGCAGACTGTAACTGGCTGGCCAGCGAGCCCTCAGGAATCCTCCTGTCTCCACCCCTCCAGCACTGGGATTTCAAGTGCACACCACCATGCTTGCTTTTGTTTTGACATGGGTTCTAGAAATCGAACTCGGGCCTTCATGCTTGCAAGGCAGGCACTTCACCAACTGAGCTATCTCTTCAGTCCCTGTCTACAATAACAATATACTATACTATACTATACTATACTATACTATACTATACTATACTAATACCAGTCTATAGAGATATTCCATTATTGTAACCCCCTGAGCCCCCTGCAGGGAGCTTACAATGCTCATTTCACAAGTACAAAAACTGAAGCTCAGAGAAGTCAAATCATTTGATTAATTGGTCAAGGCTACTTGGGCTGGTGGTAAAGCCAGGGTTCAAGCTCAGGCCTCTCAAAGCACTTCTTCAGGGCATCACTTAGTATTGGCAAACAGGAGCTCAATACCACTGATTTCATGTGCTTGATGTTGGCCACGAACAAGCCACTGAGCTAAGCATTTCCTGTTCATTACTCCATGAGATCCCCTCAACAGGCCTAGAAAGGCAGAAGCAGGCACTTGCATCTCGGTACAACAGACATCTCACTCATGACCTCGCCCTGGTGCAGCACGAATAATAAAAACCCAGAGTCAGATGTTGGGGTTCAAGCTGAAGATCAGAAAAGCAAAGCAACCAACTGCTAGAGAGTTCTTATCTCTACCAAGACTGGGCCATCCTGTCCTCAGTTGTGACTGCAGACTAAGACCCTGAGCTCCTGTCTCCTCCTGTTCCTCCCTAGTGCTGGTATTAAAGGCATAAAACACCACCACCCGGCCTCACTGGCTAACTAGTGTGGCTGCTGGGGTTAAAGGCGTGTTCCAGCATTGCCTGGCCTATATGACTGACTAGTGTGGCTAGCTTTACACTCTGATCTTCAGGCAAGCTTTATTTAAATATCAATACACCCTGGAGGTGAGTACCCGGCTCCATGAAGTCTTCTCTCCCGCTCTCCTTCCAGGCTCAAGGGGAAGATCCACGAAACCAACCTGACATATGAAGACTTCCCCACCTCCAAGTACACGGGCCCTCTGCAGTACACCATCTGGAAGTCTCTTTTCCAGGACATCCACCCAGGTGAGGCTCTGCCCTTCCTCCTAGAGAGACAGGGAGAAGTGTGCATGGCCACCTGGGCCAGGTGTGGCAGGTGGCAGAGCAGGAAGTGGGCAGAGTGCCTGTGGGTGTTCTGGTCTGGTCTTTAAGTGCTTTGTATCACTGTGACCCGCTCCACTCCTGGAGGAACTTGCCACAGTCATCCACACGTCACACACGCAGAATTAGAGGCTCGGCGCTAGAGCGATTGGATGGATCGTCCATGGTGCCCCAGAGCCTATACCGAGCCCTCGAGCCCCCAGAAAGCCCTCTAGAGCAGGCTCTATTATTGTGCCTGTTCCCCAAGTGGAGGCACAGCTGTTCCCTGCCCTGACACAGGAGTCAGGGTCCATCCACCTGGATGGATTCACTATTTCATTCTCCAAACAGTTTCAAGAGTCAAGGGAGACAGGCAAGTGGCCTGACCTTGGCAGTCTAGAGGGATGGAGCTCTGGCATGAGATTTGCATATCATGGAAACCTGGGGTGGGAGCAGGGTTAGGGGGAGTTGGAGGGCAAAGTGTGTGGGCGAGGAAGGGGGGGATCAGTCAATCAGGAGCACCAGATGCAGCCAGGAGAAGCTCAGGTTTTCCTTGGATACTGGAGAGCACAGGTCGCCCCAAAATGTCCGCAGTTGAGCCCCTGCGGTGATGGAGAGGTTCCTGGTACAATCACCCAGAGTGTGGGGGGCTCCTCTTCAGATGACAGGCCTCATCGAATGTGTCATTCCTGCCGTCTTAGAGTTGAAGAGGGGATCTAATGAACAAAAGCAACAATGTTGGGAGAAGGGGACATTTTCTAGCAAGCTCACTTCCTTCCTGGAGTGTGCTCCTAGCCTCTGAAGAACTTTCACACCGGGCCATGTGTGGATGAACCAGTGTACCTAGGGAGAGACAAGAACCCCAGGCTCTTTTTTCTCCTCCCCTGGGACCCCTCGAGTGGGTGGTCTAGAAAGTTGCTGCCTCAGCTGCCACCTGCCTCATCCCTGCCACGAGAGCCTCGCCCAGTCCGGTCAGACCCTCCAAGACATCACACTCAACTACCCTGAACCATCTTCAGGCTGTGCCTGAGCCAGATTCTCCCTCCTTGGCGCATTTTGCCTGGAGGCCTTGGCACCATCAAATGCTTTGGTATTCGATGGCCAAAATTCACCCCCTTTTGTAGCTTCGCCTTAAACACCTCAGCTGAAACGCCTTCCTGGGTTTCCTCAGGTGACCGTGGCCTTTTCCGATCACAGCGCTCCGTAACAGCCTAGGTGGCTCTCGTTCCCTTTCTCTGGACTCTGAGCTCTGAGGGGCCAGAGGCTGGGTTCAGTTAATCCCCTGCAGCCGGCAGTGTTTGTGGATGCAGGAATAAAAGAACAGATGTTAGACTCCAGTTTACTTCTAGAGTAGTGCCTAGCGTATACACCAGGTACTCAGTAAGTGGTAAAGGGACCGGCTGCAGGTCCTTAGACACCCCCTTTTTCCTCTAGTCCCATTATGTCCCTGAATAACGGAGATGGCAGTGTCCCTTTTGCCTCCATCACAAGTGAGCAAATGATGGCCAGGCAGGGTGTCTCGGCCTCTGTACCGCTGACCCACAAGGCCTTGCTGGAGGCCCTGTCCCATCCACCACAGGAGACCAGCAGCCTCCGCAGCCCCTATATCTAGTTCACTAGATGCCACTGTCCGGCTGTGGTCAGATATCTTTTGGAAGCACAGATGTCTCAGTTGAGACCACAGACCCTGAGAACACTACCTGCGAAGGGACTGAGGGGGCAGGTGCGTGACCTGAGCGCTCTGCCCTGAGCAAAGGCCCCTGGGACTTTAGACAGCAGTGACCTGGTTGGCTGGGCCCTTTCTTTGTCTGCAGGACCTATGAAGTCACTCTGGCTTCTCAGTGAGCACCAGATCTTTTATGTCCAGATGGGAGGGCTGCTTTTCCTCAGGGACCTGGCTGTGGCTTCTGGTGGCTTCCTGCCTGCCCCTCCTTTACAGCCTGAACTTCCCATTGGGTCATCTGAGAACCCCATCTAACACCTGTCGCTCCCCTACGCTTGCGCTTCCATACTTCATCACCTCCAGCCGCCTGCCCAGCCCCCAGCCCTTTGCCCACCATCCCTCTGCCAACTCAGTCCTATCGCGCACTCCCAGGTGCAAATGTCCCCAGCGTCCCCGTCCCCAGCGAGCCAGGCAGCCCATTGTCCCAAGGACACCGGACACTCCTCTCCCTCCTCAGCCTCCACTGCCTTGCCTGGCCTCTCCCCCTGTCGCTACTCATCTGGATCTAATTATGTGGAGACCCAGAATGTTCTCTGCCCCACTGTGTGACCCAAGGCAAAGCCTCCTCCCCCCTCCTCCACCCTCCTCCCCCCTCCTCCCCCCTCCTCCCCCCTCCCTGCTGCAGCTGAGCTGCCTCGCCTACACCTTAGAGGTGGTCCTGGTTGTTGCCCAGGATTGATAACAGAGAGGACTGATATCTGTGTGAAGATGGTCCCATAATTTAGTAAGCATGCTTTACTATCTATTATTATGAATCAGACACTTGCCCCATCTTGGTGGTCAGAGTGTCTGGGGCCAGATAATGGAAGGACACCATGTAAAAAGACCCAGCTCACGCTCCAATTCCCCTTTCACCCCAAGTAGAACCTAAGTAAGACGCTTACCTCAGAGAGCCTCAGTTTGCTCTTCTGAAAAAATGGCCACAGGCATCGAGACCCCTGGGACGACTGTGACTCTCGGGAGCGGTGCCTGTTCTATGCAGACTCTGCGAAGGCAGGAGAGGGCACTGAGGGCCTGAGGAGCTGGGAGACCTGAGGGGCTAGACTTCTGTTTTTTAAGGCCTGACTTGGAGAGGAAAAAAAAAACAAGCAGACATACTTACTGTCCCATGAGACCCTGACTGTACTGGAGAACAAAGAGACCCAGTCCTCCGGCTGCTGGGCAGTGTGTTTGGCTGGCCATGTGGGAGGCCCTTTCTCTACTGCTTGGGTGATAGTTGAGGAGGAACAGGAAACGTTTTCATGGAGTCTGGAAGTCTGTGACCCTTCCTGGGTGCCCTTAGCTCGGTTTCGGAAACTCAGAACACACAGTGGAGAGGAGCAAGGCAGAGGAGCCAGCCTTTGTCTATAAAGAAGAGTGTCACAGTTAGGCGTGAACTCTGACCTCCAAGCAGAGCCTGGGAAAGGCTTTGGCTTCACTGGGTCTCACTGGGTCTCATCACTACCCTGAGGGTACAGACTGCTTGGGAGGGTGAAAGGGGAACTGCCACACCAGAGTGCCCCTCAGGGTGTCCAGACTGCTCTCTGGACTGAAGGCCACTGTTCCTGCCGGCCTCAGGGAGGGTGCTGCCTGGGGCTCCAGAAGTGGCCCCAAAACCTACACAGATCTAAGAGTCGGCGAGTCTGCATGCTGCCTGCCAGTATCCCCTTAACTGTCCCTTGAGCCTTGGGGTCTCCCTTTTGCTGACCTCCTCACCTCCTAGGCATCTGGAATGTGGGAATCTGCATTCCCAAAGGCTGATGTTTTCCTTGGGACTCCATTCCCAGCGTGTTCCACTGCCTGTAGTGTCAGCAACACATCTGTAGCTAATTAGGTCCTTACACAGGCACTCACACTTCCTTCCAGCCTTCCTCTCATGGTGAGAACTCTTCACACCACACAGGGCAGGAACTTTCTCGTTCTTACCAGCTACCCAAAATACTGCCAGAATACAGGCAAAAGTTCACCCGTGAGCCCATTAGCAGCTCCTCTCCGCTTTATGTCCTATACCCAGGGTCCTGTTCCCACACAGCTCTCTGCATTCTGAGGACAAGAGAGAGGTGTGAGGTACGGAAGTGAAGTTACCATGACCGGGCTCACGGAAGTGGTTCCATGCAGGTCGGCCTGTTATGGGTGCTTGATGCTGGGCGCAGCCGTGACTGCCTAGCGGGACAGTCACAAGCATTGGAGCGTCTTATTCCTCTGTGTATCTACGTCCTACAGGGGCACTGAATAGGAGGTGACAGTGGAGAGCCATCATGTCCCTGCTCCAGCTGACAGGAAAGAGTCAGGGAGCCCGGGAAAGCCCTTGGCCCCGAGGAACTGCAGCAGTATTCCGTCTTCCATCCTGCTGTCTCCCTTCTGTCTTGCCCAGGCCTGCAAATACTCATTCGCTGAGAAATGCCGGTCCCAGGTCCTCCGCTCCTTGGGGGGTTATCAATAAACGGAGGTCTTGTGGAGTTCAAGAGACTGTCCTCTCAGACCTGCTGAGCCGGTATGGCCAGCTCAGAGCCAGGTGACCCAGCCTGCACCAGGGACACTGTCAGACAGGAGTGAGTGCATTTGTGTGTCCAAAAGCCTGCCCGTGCCAGGCTCCATGCTGGGCATTCAACTCTCAGGGAAGACAGGGTTCGCTGCAACACAGGCCTTGGCCTCTGGGTGCAAAGTAGGGTGAGATAGGAGCCCAGAAGGAGCCTATCCCTGTATAGGAGAGCAGCAGAGAGAACAGGAGTCCCAGAGGCCGAAGGAGAAGCCAGCTGAATCCTCCAGCGCAAAGGCTCCCAGAAGATGGGTCTTCAAATAGGGCTGGTGGGGGGGCTGATCTCTGCAGCAGAGAGGATGTAGGGGGTGAGGGGGGCAGCTGAGCAAAGGGTTTAGTCCTGAACGAAGAGGTGGGCTGTGGCCAGGTACCAGGTGGCCTTGAATGGTTCCAGCTCTGCCAGCATTTTTTTGACCTGCGATTAGTCAGGGCTCCCGAGGGTCTTGATTTTCCTATCTGTCAAATGGAAGAGTTGGTAGGATTAGAGATTTCCAACATTTGGGGACATATTGTCTATTTTTAATAATAACAAATTTTAAAATCTCAGCTCATACATATGACCTTTTAATTATATATGTGTGTGTGTGATAATGTATACATGCATATGTAACAACTGACTGTAATATAAAGGAAAAATAGAAGGTGATTTGTAGTTAAACTTCCTTGAAACCAGCACCGGTTGCAACACAGCCTGGCCTCGAACTCACCGTGTAGATAACCTAGGATTTCCGGTCCTCCTGCCTCCACCTCCAGAGGGTTGTAATTACAGGCACATATCACCATAGCCAGTTTAATGAGGTGCTGGGAATCAAACCTGGGGCTTTGTGTATGCCAGGCAGGGACTTTGCCAACTGAACTATATCCCCAGCCCGTCATTAAATATTTTGAATCACTCTGGAAAGCACAACCAAGCAACCAGTGCTCACAGTGTAAGCACCATTCAGAAGGTTGCCTTTGCCCACGATGTCATCCTTAGAAATGTACTGAGCAAATCAGCCTGAGTTCTACACACACAGCGATAAAATGTAGCCTCCCTCAGTTCGGTCATTGCCTTCCAAAACCCTCAATACGTTTTAAAATCCCAAGATCGGTCTCACGTTTATACATACTTCCGAGGTAGGTTGTACTTCCAGACCCACGTATATTAAGATTTCTCAACCACTTAGATGTCTGGCAGGATCTCTGGTGTTCAGTGGTAGGGTGAATCATCCCTCGTGAGGCCAGCCAGTCCCCAACTCACTTAGCCACCCTCCAGCCACCAGTCTTGGAGACAAGAGGTGAACGTTTCCAGATCGCCCTGTAGGGGGCAGTATCACCTGGCTAATCTGCTCCTTCCCAGCTCTGAAACTTCCTTCTGGAATCACTCAATGTTTTGCCCTGGGAATCACTCAGTGACCCTATCAGCTACTCCTCTGCAGCCAGGTGTAAAGATGACAGGCTGTTCCGTTTTGTAGAAGAGGCGGAAACAGACAAGAGGGCAAGTTTATGTTCATTTATCTTATGACACAGTAGGTCAGTAGCCTCCTGGAGACCAACCAGGACCCTCTCCTCAAGCAGGCACTACACAGTGGACCTACAGCCTTCTCTCCACTGATCTCCCCATCCTCCCCTTCTCTCTTCCACCTAGTGCCAGCGGCCCTGACCCTGGACCCAGGCACTGCCCACCAGCGCCTGATCCTGTCGGATGACTGCACCATCGTGGCCTACGGGAACCTGCACCCACAACCCCTGCAGGACTCACCGAAGCGTTTTGACGTGGAGGTGTCGGTGCTGGGCTCTGAAGCCTTCAGTAGCGGTGTCCACTACTGGGAGGTGGTGGTGGCAGAGAAGACCCAGTGGGTGATTGGGTTGGCCCACGAGGCTGCGAGCCGCAAGGGCAGCATCCAGATCCAGCCGAGCCGCGGCTTCTACTGCATTGTGATGCATGATGGCAATCAGTACAGTGCATGCACGGAGCCCTGGACGCGGCTCAACGTCCGTGACAAGCTTGACAAGGTGGGTGTCTTCCTGGACTATGACCAGGGCCTCCTCATCTTCTACAATGCCGACGACATGTCCTGGCTCTACACCTTCCGAGAGAAGTTCCCTGGCAAGCTCTGCTCCTACTTCAGCCCTGGCCAGAGTCACGCCAATGGCAAGAATGTCCAGCCGCTGAGGATCAACACTGTCCGCATCTAGTCCGGGCTGAAGGAGACCAAAGCCTTCTGGGTCTGTGACCACCAGCAAGAGCCTTGCCCAGCAGACGGGAGCCTGGACTACTCAGGCCCACCGTGGCCACCCTGAGACCTCAGGCCGGTTGTTTATCCCCCAGCCTCCTCTGCCCTGCCTGCGAGGCAGAGGTTGTGCTCCGTGGTTAATGTCTTGTAGCTCTGATATTAATGGGATGTTACATGGCTTCTTCCCAGGGCGTCCCTAGCCCAACCCCTCCTCCCTATTCTCCCAACGACAGGGAATTTCCCTCCTGCTCAGGCAACCAAGCCTGTTGACAGATCAGATGTGACCAATAGCTAGCAGCCCAAAAGATATACAGAATCCTCTTATGCTTGTGGCCTAAGACGTGTCTTGCCCCTGACCAAGAGAGTAATGGGTTGTTTTACTCTTGACCCAAGTGCACAGTAGACCCAGATGGAAGCTGGTCCTAGGGATGTCTAAGGGTCACCCTCTCCTGCCACCCCTGCACCAAGCCGAGAGCTGTGGCTTTTCTCCTCTCCCACTAATCTGCAAGTCAGAGATGATGCTGTGGCATGTGACAGGCAGTTCACACGGTACGGTCATGGCACTACCTTCCAGTCCATGGACTCTGGGGCAGGGTGAGGCATAAGGACCCCGGAAACCAATACAGAACACTGTCAGGACAAAGCAGAAATGGACGATACCGATCCAAGTCCCCAGCTGCTTTGGGGACAGAGGTCCAACCAGCCCTCATCAGTCAGGCCTCTATGGCCCGCTGTGGGGACAGAGAGGGTGCTGGTAGCAGTTCTTGTCATCAGGACCTGAATCCCAGGAGAGCTGTCAGTGGGTACCACGTTGGACTTGACTCTGGTTCCCATAGGAATCTGATGCACACACAAGAGCCACCTAAGTTGGCGTTATCAGACAAGAACTCACAGTCAGCTTGCAAGATCACTGGAAGGGCTGGAGGAGGAGAGCCTTGCTGAGTTTCCAGAGACAACTTCAAGCAGCTCAAGTGATTGTGTCTGTGACCAGGAAAGCTGTTTCCATTTGTGGGGAGCCCCTGCCTCTCAAGCTGCTCGGGGCGACCGTCCACTGTCCGTGCCAGCAAGTGATTATCCAAGCCTGCCTCTCTCTCAACTCAGGTCCCAAATCTACATCCTTTGGAGGGATTCTTTCTGTGGAAACTTGAGTCAGAACCCAGATTTTGACAGCAAAGAAATCTGGGAAGTGTAGTTTTTTCTCTTCCAGCCTCAACCATACAGAAAGTTAGCATGGAGGTGGAGCAGGCCCATCCACAATTTCCTTACCACAACATCCAACTGTGCAGAACTCAGGAGAATAAAAGAATCCACCTCAAGGCCTTGACTTTGAAGCAGAGCTGCTGAAGATTTCCTGCTCCTTGGCTCTGTCCCTGCCTGTCCCTGCCCAGAGGCAACAATCTCGGGAGTAGGTAGTAGTCAGAAGTACAATCAAAATGACTCCCCAGCGTCACTGTAGTCCTGGGGCTTCAGTCCTGTATTTGGGGCTCAGTGAGCATGTCCATCTCCAAGGAGCCAGATTGGATGAACTTGAGGGGCTCCCACTAACAACTGCCACGCACTGGGGACCCCCTGCGCAAGAGGAACCCTAAGCTCTACTCGCGCCCTCCACTCCCAGACTCCAGGCTACTCCTGACAGTATTTTTATTTAAAACATTGCTCTTTTGTGCATTATGATCAATTTGTATTAAATTAAGGTTACAGGGCACAGGTGTCCGTTCCATTCATTCTGATGAAAACAAAGCAGTCTGCCCCACCCCAGAGAGGGGACACTCGTTAGCATAGCCCGTCTGGTCCCCAAGGCAGCCCCGCTTGAGCTGAAGACATCTCCAGAGCAGAGTGAGGTCCAAAGAGAGGATGTGACTCTGAGAAGCCCACAGCCCAGTCTGGACAGGAAGAACTGAGTTCTAGGCCAGCACCCACACTGCAGCCCCGCCAGGGCACTCACCAGGCGGGGCAGACCTCCCTGCCTGAAGAAAAACAGGGTAGCCTTGAAAGTAGATAAGAGATCCATACAGGGCAGCAGCAAGAGTCTTAGACTGTATAGGCCTGGGCTCTAGATCAGGCTTCACTTTAGAAAAGACAGCTTAACCTCTCAGGCCCTGAGTTGCTCCCCTTGGAAAATGGGGGTGATAGCATAGAGTTAACATGATTTATTGGGAAGCTATAAAGTGTACAGTTCCCGGGGCCCTGCCTCTTCTCCCACAGTCTGTGCCTGAAACTACATAGATTTTTCTAAGCTTCTGTGCCTCCTTGGCCCCTGAGAAGTTCGTCTTCCTCCTGCATCCCATGAGGGATGTGGAACAAGATAAATAGAGAAGTCCTTAGGTTGCTATGGAGACAGAAGTTCATCCTACCTCCAACTGATGAAGAAGCAGTCTAGGCATAGTCCATCAGGGTCCTGTCTGTGCACACACAGGCTGTGCCCATGGCTAACAAGAAGGCTGCCTGGTCCTCCGCAGCTCTGCAGTGCTAGAACGGGAACCTTGGGGGTCTAGTCTTGGCTTTTCATTGATTCATGTTAACTGAAAGTGTCCTTCCTTCCTTTCCTCGCCTGCAGGGTGAGGGAGGTAGATCCTCTAAGGCACTAGGTGGTACTTTATAACCTTGAGGTAGGCTGGAAAAGGACCCACACGAGGCCCTGGATTGTTTGAATTCCTAGGCACAGGTCCATGGGCAAGAAGAGGGAAGGGGCTAGAGGTAGGAAGATCCAGTATTGGAGTCAGAAGCCTGGGCTACAGAGTGAGACCCAGGGTGTGGGGTGCAGGGGACACAGACAGAAGGGGAAGGAGGGGGAGGGAGGGATGGGGAGAGAAGAGGGAGGGACAGGGGGAGAGATTGTGATTGTCAGGCTGGCAATGCAGTTGAAGGTGAGGCTGGCAGGAAGGATTAATTGATTGTTTTGAGCCCATTCTGAGCCCCCAATATGCAGTCTGTAAGCAAAGTGCTAGTACATTTTACACTTTATCTAACCACAAGAGGAGCCCATGAGGATACTATCATTATCTTGGTGTTTAGAGACACAAGGCAACGCTGCCCAGGAGATCCACAGCTAGTCCCTGGAAGAGCCGGAAGCACTAAGGCCACATTTGGACCTCTCTGGAGGGACTGCTCTCAACTCTGAGGACCACTCAGTGATGGGGCAGGCACTATAACTGGGATCCTGGGCATTGAAGAGGGACCTTACACCACAGGTCCTATATGGCTTAAAGGTGAGCTTATGAAACACACTGTGTGACTTTAAGCAGGTTCCTAATCCTCTCTGGCCTCAGTTTCCCCATGTCTACTGGGAACAGCTTAGAGATCCGCTTGATTACAAGGGTGAGTGGGCCCACCGCTTGGGCCACTCGATCCCCAATAGATTAGGCTATTATCTTTTTGTCACTCTCTCTGGGGTGATGGCAGAGACCGAAAAACAACAACGATAAAATCTCTTGGCAATACACAGCCCGCCTCAGGGACTCTGAGGACAGGCCTTCCCTCCTGCCAGGGAGGTCATCCCAAGAGGCTGACTGCTCACACCTGGGCAGACTCCTCCTGCCTGGGTCTCAGCTCTGTTTAACACCCCAAGCTCGCCACCAACTCAGAACCAGGACCGCCACACCGGGAGGTCAGTTGCAAAGGCCTGAGTCACAGGCTTAAAGCCTGGGGGCTGCATGAAGGTGCGGGGAGGGGAGAGGGCAAAGCCTGGCCAAGGTGCTGAATCTGAACTTAGCTGTCCACCAGGTCTTTAGTCTGTGTATCCTGCACCACCTGAAGGAGGCATCGTGGGGAGCAGAGCAGAAATGGGGTGCACAGGGGGAAGAGGCAACGCCTTTCTTTTGAAATGTGCTCATTTTCCTGTTTTTCTCTTCTATCTTTATACAAGTGGGGTTTTTGTTGTTTGTTTGTTGTTACCCTAAATACAGTCTTCCAGGGGTTGGGGAGATGGCTCAGGGGGCAAACGTTTGCTGTGCAAGCATGAGGACATGGATCTGGATCCGCAGAACACCCATAAAAAGCTAGGTGCATCCTCACACATCGGCAGGCCTAGCACTAGGGGCAGCGGGTGAAGACACAGATCTGGGTAAGACCCTCTCTCATAACTAAGATGGCAAGCAATAGAGGAATATACCCAGCCTCGGCATCTGATGCCCACACTGTACACATGGGCAGGCACACACAGACACATGCATACATACAACATGCACAAACAGTTTTTTATCTGCTTTCAAGGTTTTGACAGTTATATCATTTTTATTATTATTTTAAAACATTCCTCCCGTATCCCAGGAATCAGGTGAAATGAGGAAGCATTGACACTTTGGACCAGATACCCAGGGGAGTCCTACCCTGATGTCATAAAAGCATAGCCTGTCAGGGGGCTGACATTAAAGGTACAAAAGGCCAGGTTCTGGTGCAGAGCCTGCAAAACAATGGACCTAGATGAGTGACTGAATGAATCCTGACAGAGACTGAGTGATCCTCTGACCCAACCTGAAGCCCAGAAAGGGTTAGCTTATAGCTCAACGTTTACAGCATGGGGCAGAGATAAGACCAGAATCTCTGTGTCCTGATCCCAGGAGCCAGCTAAGGGGGCCCCAGCCCAGACAAGCAGAGGAGAAGCAAGGGGAAGCCCAACATGTTATGAGCAGGGATGAAATGGGGGGCACTCAGAAGAGAAGGGCCTCATGTAGAGATGTCCAGGGTGGAGGCCTCCCTGTCAGAGAGTAGAACTACAGCACCCCAAAGATGAAGAAGGACACGGGAGTCACAGGATTACAGAGCCCTTTAGGTGGAAGCCGAGCATGGATGGGTACTCTCAGGGCGACTGGTGTATGACTTGAGAGGAAGCTCTCCAACCATTCATATTTATAATAGAGGCATCTCCCAGAAGATTGGCAGCTGATAGGATGTCAGGCACTGTGGCAAGCATGTGGGATAAAGATGACACTGGGGTTGCGGAGCACACTGTGCAGATCGGCAGCTTCCACTCTCGTCAGACGGGCTGGAAATCCCGGAGCTTTTGTTAACCAAGCCAGCCTGGCCCTCAGCCCTTACTCCTATCAGCATCCCGGTATGGGATGATGGTCACACATCACAGCCCAGCGGGTCCCAGGGACCTCCTCCTGAGGGGGACGATGCTGTGCATACAATAGCAATCCCAGCACTTGGACCATTAAGGTCCCTTATGCAATGGACAGTGTGTTTCCATTCTTCACACCTCTGCTTGGGTAAGACTCTCTCCCTGTCTAGAACACCCAGCCCCTTTTCCTTCATCATGAAACCTGGCTGACTGGCCATGTCTAGAGCATCCAAGGCCATCAGAGTTCATTGCCCCAGAACTGAAGCACTTTTGGTCCCCCACTGTTACCTGTCTTAAGACAGAGACCACTTCTGCATTTCTGCCAGCTGCAGATATGAGGGTGACCCAGAAAACAAGTTCTGGCTGGGGTCATGTAACCACCATGTCTCCAAGTTGGGAGAAATCTTAGGGACCAGAAATAGAGCTTTACATGGAAGCTGGGTTGCCAGGAAGCACCCCCTGGTCACCCCAGCCAGACTGCTCAAGGAGAGTCAGGGAGAAGTGGCAGAGATTCGGTGAGTGCTTTGTCTACATTTGAAACAAATTATAAAGTAACTTACGTTAAAAAGAATCAGGGGCTGGAGAGATGGCCCAGCGGCTAAGAGCACTGGCTGCTCTTCCGGAGGACCCAGGTTTAATTCGCAACACCCATTTGGCAGCTCCCAACCATCTGTGACTCCACTTCCAGGGGATCCACCTTCCCCTCATACAGACGTACTTGCAGGAAAAACATTAGTGCACATAAATTAAAACAAATAATAAATAATAAAAACAACCAGACAAAGAGAGCAGAGTTTTCTTCGCCCTGCATCTAGAAATCAGCAGCTACTCATAGTTCATCGCGCTCTTCCGGGCATCTTTGCTGTACATTATCAAAAATGTCATTTCTTCTACAGAAGTGCGATCATTCTCTACACTCCTCTTTCTACATCTTCTGTAGTAGATTCCTTCTAATGGAACTGTGGGTCGAGGGGTTTGCCCATTTCTTTCCTAAGTAAATACTTTTCTTACATGCATTATGGAAAACACAGTCAAGATGCCCAAGGTGAAACTCGCCCATTATTGGCCACTGTTCAAACACTGATAAAGCATTTTGGCGAGAAGGTTTAGTCTTCTTCCAAAGTGATTTATTTTACAAAACTCAGGGTGCTGGGAAGATGGTTCAGTTAGTAAGGTGGTGCTGCTCACACGGTAGTTCCTGAGTTCTGACCCTCAGTGTCCATGTAAAAGCCCAGTGTGATGGAGCCATCCATAACTGGAGAGCTGGGAGGACAGAGGGAGGCGGGTCCCTGGAGCTCACTGTATGGCCATCCTAAACAATCAATGGGACACTGTCTCAAAAATTAAGGTGGGGGAGCCA